CCATTTATCATTACTGGAGGATTCTTGTTCATAAGTAATCATAAGAGGCGACCCTTCTACTGGCTCCAATGGTACTTTCGGAGCCTCGTTTGAATTCACTCCGACTCCCGACTCGGAATCAGAAACTGGCGAGGACATGGATGTGTCTGAGGTGTACCCTTCCGAGGTCATCATCACGCTGAACAAAAATGAGGCAGCAGAAGAAGAGCTCGAGGATGAGAATGGCGAGCTGCTTCTAGACGAAGACGGATGTGATAATAGGGGAGGTTCGTCCCGAAGCCTGTTTCCGTCCAACGACTCAGATCTCGTGCTAGTTAACGGCGGTAAGGTAGGTCTATGCTCAAGCCCTGCGATAGTCGTTGCCTTAGGCTCGAGTACTCTCTCGGACTGACGCAGTCGTGGCTTTCGTTTTCGCTGATCTTCGAAGGCAGTGGACACCGAACCATTTCCTCAGTGACCCTTCCCCGAGTGTGGAAGGCTCCTTCGAGTATTTGCTCCGGATCGACTCGAACTTATCTCTATAGTACTCACTCAATATACGCTGAGAAGTGAACAAAGAACGCATACCAATGCGATGAATGCCTCTCCGCCTTACGAACTCGAGAGCTTGAGCAACAATGCCGTCCACAGACACATACCTCGGGTCCTCCATGGCAAAGTCTGTGAGACGATACCATAACTGACTCGAAGAGCGCAAAGTTATAAGGGGCAAATCATACATTCCACCGAGGCTGAGTAGTCAAGTCTGCTGTAGACCAGCAAACGCTACCTCAGTTCGCCGTACAATCCTCGAGCGCATCCTCTTAGCATTGGCAAGAAAATCTTCACATCGATCTTGAATGAACTGAAACCGGAGTTTGGTCATAGAGAGACCACTCGAAAAGACCTACCGGGAGCAGCGTCTCATTGAGTACTGTGTGATACTTAGGCTGAAGCACGTCTGGTTTGATGCTGCGATCATGGGCAAGGGCTGGTGAGCAAAGGCACTAGTCCGAGGGGAGACGTGACCATGCCTTGAACCTTACCTTGAGCTCCCAAAGGATCGAGAATCCCTTGCATCAGTTTGGTACTGTTGAAGAGGTAGAACGCTGACAGGCCAACGAGGCGTTTAGACTTAGGCTGCTGACGCGTGCAAAGAATGTCCTCTCTCTTCGCTTCCTGAAGGCTCCGAAATACACTCCGCCTGATCTTGTCACGAAGTTACCTTATGTATTTCATTCACTCGAGAGACGAGTTGTGCATCGATGATAGTGAGTAGTTCTTGTTTGGCATTTGTAGGGAGCCCCCGATAAGCCTGGAGAACATCTTTCTTGTTAACCTGTACACAATAAGAGCAAGTCAGAGATGGAGAGGCGAATAGTGGCAGCTAGCTAGAGGTACCCAACTCACCAGTGGCACTGTTTTATCGACTTTGGCCATGAACCCTGGTATGAGCACTGTCACCGAAGCTCCCCTCTTATGTGGATTCTCATAATATGTTAACGCTCCCGTACAATACGCTACGTTAACCTATTTTTCCGCAGGAAAAATAGGCAAAATATGAAATTTTTCGATAAGGAGCGACTCGCAAGCAAGGGGAATGGATCCAATAGGTTCGACCGGCCTTCCACACTTCCCGGTGAACTCCGCAGGGGGTACAGCATGGCATATTGGACGGAAGTTATGCCGGTCTTGAGGAGCTCTGCTCAAGGGGTGAACTATAAGCGTTCCTTCACTCTCCGCGGTCACTTGGACTCTGCAGTCACTGAAACGCAACATGAAGAATCTCCATTGAAGGAGTAATCGTGAGGCATTGGGCTTCAAAAACTATGAAATTGGATATAGGCGCTGATGACGTAATCAAGCACGTGGTTGACTTCTCCAGAAGAGAAGTCACCTTTCAAAGGTGAATGATCTGCTCCATTGAGCTATCAGCTACTCTTCTCGCCAGGCGAGCATTCCAAGATTTCGGCGACGCTGCCGGCCGAGAGCTACTGGGGGTTATTTCAACGACGAGATAGTTTGGGACGCTACCTGCATCTCGCAGCAGCGACAGCAGATTCCATCGTATGGGACCTTGATGATCGGGGAGGTGATATTCACAGCATGGCATCGCGCTACTGAC